AAGGACTTTTGTCCTCCTGAAGTTTTCTTAGAGAGTGTTTTTATCCCCTCACTTCTCCACACTGGGTGCATTTATCTGCAGGATTACAGGTATTTCTTGGAGTAGTTGGGAATATCTCCTTGCCTGGTGCTTGCCCAGGTTCAGGAGAGTCCAGTTTGTGCCTGGCAGTGCTAGTGCAGGGTTTCAAGTGATACCTTGCTCCAGGAGGCTGCACTGAATCGATGAGACACTTTGAGCACGTGTGTGTGTGTGTGTGTGTGCTGGCAGGGGCTGTTTTGTCAGGGATAGGCATCACTCCCGTGAAGTTTCATGACTGCAGTCAGCAGCAGCCAGAGCTCTCCTGTCTGCACAGCCAGGGCTTTCTCTGCAGCTTTCAGACATCCCAGGCCCATGTTCATTAGCAGGTAGCCAAGGTTTGCTGTGACTCAGTGCAGCCGTTTGCTCCAGCGCTGGATTACCTTCACACATTACAAATCAGTGCCGAGTTTCTCCATGGTTTTGGCACTGGGCAGGTGCCTGGAGCACGTTGCAGGGAGGAAAAGGCTGGGGGAGGCGGAGCAGGTGAACTTCACTCTTCCAGCTCTGGAACAAAGCTCCTACTCCTGGCTGTAGCCTTTGCAGGGAGAGATGATGTTCTTTGCCCTGCTGGCAGCACCGCAGAGAGCTCTGCAGTGCCATGGCTCTGCTCAGGCACATGGAGCATCACAACAATGGGGCTGCTTTCCCCAGAAGCTGCTCCCTGGCAGGCACTGAGACAGCCCACACCGAGCAGCAGTTGATCATTCTCCATGTAACTGCTAGAGATGCCTAAATAATTCATTAATGGTTTGGGGAAACAAAAATATTTTGCAGTGAGTAATTTCTTGCCAGTGATGTTGTGCACAGCTGAAGCAGCTCACAGGCAGCCACAACGCACAACGGTGCAGTGTTTGTGGGACATCATGGGCCCAGGCTTTTTGCTCTGATTTTTAAATTTTTTTTCCCACGTGAACTGTCCTGTCTCTGCACAAACATGAAGAGAAGTAGGGTGAGATGGTTAAAACAGAGCATGGGCTGGCAACAGGGGATGTGGGGAGCAGGCAGGGGCTCATGAGACCACCACAGCCTTGCTTGGCCTGGCTCTTTGCATTGCACACAGGAGCCATGGGGACATCAGAAATTTCTTCTCCCAAAACCTCATTTCCAGCAATGTGACTGGTGGCAGCAAGCCAGGCAGAGCCCTCCCCAGCCAGTCCCCATGCACTGATGACAAAGAGCTCCAGGAAACCCGTCCCAGACCCAGCGTGGGCAGGGGAAGGGCCCAAGAGCTTCATGCCGATAGCAGTGACAAGGAACTCCTGTTTCTCCAAAGGCATCTGGGAAATGTTCCCAACTGTCTGTCCCTGGCATGTCACAGTGCTGGAGGCAGCAGGCTGAAAGCAGGGCTCCAGCTCTCTGTGGGTGCCCCAGGGCAAGGGGCAGGAAATTCCCTGAACTGCTCTGGGCAAGAATCAGCCCAGGGCTGGGCTTTGGACGTGGTGGGAAGTTCGTGCCCCAGAACTAAGCTGCGACTTGTGTGGGTTCCTGGAGGAAGCCCATGCTGCATCCCCTGCAGCTCCTGCTTGTCACTGTTAAATTTCCATTTTAACGTGGAAACAGCTGTTTTCATGGTACCTCTGTGTTATTTACACAGTCATGCATTCAATCCCTGCTGAAAACCACGTTATGCACTCCAGCAGCGCCCTGTTGTCTCACAGGTACCGAGCGGGTCAATGGGGAAGTGATGCCAGCCCCAGGGTCAGGCCACCAGCACTCCTCATGCCTCACCCATGGCCACCCTGGCAGTTCATGGTGAAACTGGGATGGCTTCAGGGGGCAAAGCTGTCTCAGAATGTTCCTGGTCCAGAGCAGTGGCTGTGGATGAACCTGTCTCCATCCCTGTGAACCGAGCCCTCCAAGCCTGAGAACGGGATGCTTGATGCACATCAAGGGACAGAGACAACAACTGTTGGCTGTGATCAATGATGCTTTGTTCTTGGCCCAGGAAGCAATGAAAATCCTCCTGCTTTGAAGCCTGAGGAGGCCTTTTTATTATATCCAGGGCTCCTGGAAAAGGAAACTCCAAGTGCTTTCCCATAACGTGATAAAAAGCTCTCCTGGCTGAGACCACGGCAGCTCCTTATACGTGAGAGCAGTGAGTCGGTGCAGCATAAGGCTGAGCTCAGTGCTTGCCCAGCCACTGGAAATCATTGATTCTTGGCATGTATGTATGTAATTGGGATTTGAAAACCTTGGTTTGAGTTGTGTTGGCCTTGCACTTCACCCCAGAGACCTGGCAGCTGTGGTGCCTGGTCCATGTTAGTGCCTGGTCCTGTGGCCATACAGCAGTGGGGGTCAAGCAGACCCTGGACCCTCTGTTCTGGCTGGGAAGCACTGGGGAGATTCAGCTCATGCAGCAGAAGAGAGTCCACAAGTCTCCCATGTCTGTACCTGAGAGTGGTCAGCTGTGGGCGAGTGCTGGGGGGCATGGTGGGATCTCCAGCACTCATGCAGGGATGCTCCTGGGTCAGGAGGCTGCCAGAGCACCTGTGGCTTCAGGGAGATGGTGGGGGGAGGGTGATGGCTGAGGGGAGGTTGGGGTGTTCCCCATCCTTTCTCAAATGCTGGGGCACAGTGGGTCCTCCTTGGCACAGCCCCCAACCTGGCTGGGTAACTCCTAAGTGGTAAAGCTGGCCTAATTAGTCTGTTTAATCTTCCTCCATAAATCACTCCTCCCCATCCCCTGCAGACTATCGGCAGCATCTGAAGTCATTAGTTAATTTAAACCTGGGAGTTCACACGTTGGCTTATCGGAGCCATCTCCTCTCCCCGCTAAGCGCTTGCTCGGCGCATCCCCGGCTGCTGCTGGATGCGATCTGTGCCCGCCGTGCCGGGCTGCCAGCAGGCGAGGCGCTGCCTGTGCCCCTGCCTGCTCCGCTGCCTGCTGGCAGCTGCGAGGGGAGATGGAGATCCTGCTGCTCCCCTTCCCCGCGCTCCCCGTTTTTTGAACTTCTCCTCTGACTCATCCATTTGATTTGATGTTTTCACCTTTGTTTTACAAATAGCAGTTTGCCCGAATGCTGGAAGGAGAAGGCAGCTCCGGTGCTGCTGCAGCTTCCCTGGCTGCCAGGGGAAGTAATAGAATCTTAGAATCATCTGGGTTGGAAAAGATCATCGAGCCAGGTGAGTGCACTCCTGGGGAGGGAGTGGTGGGCACCCAGTCTGCCCTTATACCTGGCAGGGATGTGGGAAAATCTGGGATTACTCCAGGTTGACCTTGGGGAAGTGCAGACTTGGCCAGGGATCCCACTAATGGCTTGTACTGCCCGTTGGTTGTGCTGTCACTTCTCCATCCTCTTCTCCTCTTCCTCCCTGGGTGTCCAGCCCGATGGGAGCAGGACTCCCCGAGTCTCCAGGGTGGAATGTCCCCAGCTACATGGGAGTCAGGGATTCCTAAAGTGAGCTCTGTTGGTGTGGGGGCAATGCTGACAGCCTGGGCACACACCTGCCCTTCCCTCTGCATGGGCAGCTGGCAGTGAGCCCGAGGGTCTTGGCAGGGCCAAATGCTCAGCTCCGGGTGCAAGATGGGAGGGGGACAGTGGGGGACTTGGCAGCAGGGGTGAGGCAGCTGGACAGGGGAGACCTGCCAGCAGCAGGGTCTGGTGGCTCCCAGCTGTTTTTGCAGGGAGCACCGTGAGGTGGGAGGCATCCTGGCCACCGGGTGCCACGCTGCACCCATGGGCAGGAAGCACCCAGCTGGGAAATGCCTGAGTGGGTGCCCTGCCCACAGAGCAGCTCAGGGCAGCCCCTTCCCACCGCAGCACCCCCAGGACAGCCCCACATCGGGGCAGCAGCCAGGACAGCACCCACTGGCACAGCACATGTGACCCACGGCCACCGAGGGGGCTCTGGCTGCTGCACAAGCTGGTACCTCGAGAGTGGGGTGTGGGTGATGCTGTGCACCCAGAGGGTGCCTGTCCTCCCAGTGCATCTCCTGCACCCCTGGGCTCTGCTCCTGTTGCTCCCAGCTGGGTGAGGGACAGCTGCTCACCCTGGGACCTGTCAGTCCAGGCTGCTTCCAGGAATGCCCCGTGCAACCCTGGGGCACAGTGACTGACAGCACAAAAGACCCAGCCCATACAGCTTTTTGGGAATGCCTTTTTGGCCAGAGCACCCTGAAGCAGCCCCTTTAAAACACCCTGATGGTTTCGGGATGGGACACGGTGTCCCTGCTCCTCAGCTGGCTTTGTGGCTGTCCTCTTCCTCCCACTTTCCCATTCCAAGGGGGAGCTGCAGCCGTGTTTGGTTTTGCAGTCCAGGCTCTGGATTTATTGCTTCCAGGTCTTCGTGTGTTTGTTCATGAAATGAAAGACGGCTGGGTGAGCCTGCTTTCTACTCCTCTGGCCGGCCTTCTGCAGCCCACAGGGGATCTTTCATTCTCAGATGATGCCTCCCCTCACATCCCACAGGCACCCAAACACTGCCAGAGTGGGGGACAGATGTTAAACCTGTGCCCTGGGTGTCAAGGTGATGCGGGGAAGGCGCTGGTAGGAGCTGTGCACTCCCAGGCACTGCAGACCACGCTGGGCACAGCCCCGGGGGACACAGCCCCTGTCTGGGTGTGCTCCACTTGTCCCCTGTCCCCAGACTGCCGCTCCCCTTCTGCTGTGGCCGGAAGACATGAGCTCCCCATTAAAGGATCTTTTATTTCAACCAGACGGAGGGGCTGCGGGGGAAGGCGCAGCGGGAGGAGACGGGGACAGGACAGAGCAGAGGAGAAGTAAATTTACGCTGGAATGTAAATCCAGCAGCAGCACACTGCTCCACAGGGCGTGTCACCCCCTCCTGCCTCTGGGCAGCTGCCCGGGACGGCTCAGGCCACATCCCTGCCCTGCCACAGCCTGCATCGCACCTGAGCGCTGAGCAGAGGTGAGGAGGAGGAGGAGGAGGAGGAGGAGGAGGAGGATGAGGAGGGTCAGGGGCCGGTGCAGCCGCCTGGTGCCACTGCTGCTGCTCCTGCCGTCCGCGCCGAGGTACCACAGGTTACATCCGCTGCAGAGGGATGGAGTCTCAGGCGTCCCTAATAATCCTAAGAATCAATAGCAGTGTCACGGATGTGCAGAACAACAGCTCCGAGTTGAGAGGGGAACTTCTCAGCGGGATTAACTCTGAAACCTAGTGACAACACTTCAAGTATCTGCACTATCTATGTCCCTGCTGCTCGTTCTAGCAGATAGTTCTTTCTAATGAGCTTTACTCAACAGCACTAGATTTGTCTGTAAGAGCAAATTCCAGGGATCAAAAAATAAGGTTTAAGATGCAAATATTCTGTGAGATATCCAGATTTAAATGCATTTTTTTTCTTTTGTTCCTTACTCCAGGGATAATTTTTAAAGGAAGCAAGGAGCGATCCTCTGGAATGTGAGAGAAAATTTTTTAGAAGAAAAGACCAAATAACATAAAATCACAGGTTTAGTTTTGGTCTGTTTAGGGTTTTTTTAGCTTTTAACCACGGAATTTGGAAAAGTTCCCTTCTGTCCACCCAGGGCAGTGTAAGCACAGATGCCCCCCGTGGGGAGCAGGTCAGGCTCATCCCCTCCTCTCCGGTTACAGAATATCACTGGGGAGGCCATGGGCATGCTGGTGGGTGCCAGGACTGGTGGCACAGGGTGAACCCCAGCCAGCCACCTCACTGCCCAGGGCAGAGAAAGCTCAGCAGATGGGTGGTCTGTGGCAGGTGACAAAGAGACTCAGATAAGTCCCTAAAATGTCCAACCCATGCTGGTAGTGGGTTCCCCCTCTGTCCCAAGGTTGGACCCCAGTGCAGGGACCTGATCTCAGACACAGATGCTGGGAAAATTCACACCCCAAGACAGGTTGTTTTTCAGTTTTCTTTAATCTTCCACATGACTTTTTTTTTTTCCTTTTGTGGCAGGAGTACTAACTGCTAAGGATGCATATGGAATTTGAATATGAATGATAAGAACAGCTGTGTATATCTATTATGAATGAACATAAACAGAAATGTATAAACTGAGATTTTGGGGCTTTTGGAAGAATTAGTGCCTTTGTTCCTGGATTTTTTTCCTATCAAAGTTTGAACCAAAGCCCATTAGCCTGGACTTCCCCGCAGCCGACCAAGCCAGGAGCTTCATTTCGTCCTGGCTCTGAGCCATGCTGAATTCTCCTCAACAGCTCAGTGAGCCCTAATCCTAACAAATTTACCCAGAGAAGTGGGTCTCTTATTACACAGTCTAATTTGAATGCTTTCCAAGGTTAATTTAAGCTCCCTCTCCCTCTCCAAACACGCCTGCCCCTCCAGAGCCAGCTCCCCCCTTCCCCAGCTCCCCCCTGGCTCCCTGTTAGCGCCAGCCTGGGGGGAGCAGCCCCCTTCACCACCAAGATGGTTTTTAAACGAGAAAATAATGGGATGTGTGTCCCTGGGTCCGGACTCTGCCTGGAGGGTTTCTTAATGCCGAGCGACTTCCTCCGCAAATTAATTGCAACTTTCGTTGGGCGAAAATAGCCCTGGAAGCCCCTTCCCCACAGGCTCTTCCGCACGTGATATTGCTGAGTTCATAATCGGATTCCTACAGCTCTGCTCTTTCCTTCCTGTCCCCCGTGTGCTGGTGAGTGCCCACGAGGGGCCGGCAGAGTGACCCACCTGGCAGCCGGGCCGTGGCCGGGAGCATCGCTGCCACCCGGCTGAGACAGCCCTGGCTCTTGCTTTGCAACAGACTGTGCAAGAAAACCTCAGCATGGGGAAACTGAAACCTGGCCCAGTGCAGGGAGCAGCTGTCAGATGCATTAGTGGAGGGATAGAGAAGGAACCAGCTATGCCTGGTGAACAGCGGTTGCAGGAGAGGGGCGGTGGCGTGGCAGGGGTCCACAGCAGGGGGTTAAAAGGGACAGAACAAGGGGCAGTGGGTTTAGGCTGAAAGAGGGTCAATTTAGATTAAGTATAAGGAGTGAGGTTTTTTACATTGGGAATGGTAAAACACTGGCACAAGCTGCCCAGAGAGGTGGTGAATGCCCCACCCCTGGAAGGCCTGGCTGGATGGGGCTCTGACTACCTGAACTGGCTGAAGATCCCCCTGCCCATGGCAAGGGGGTTGGACTAGATGGCATTTAAAGGTCCAACACAAACCATTCTATGACTATAAAGGAAAAGGTTAAGTGGAAAAAGTGTACAGAGGAGCCAGGAGCCCACCTCACCCATCAGCCCACCTGGATGTGCCCCAGGGATAATTTCTGCTGGCTTTTATCTGCAAGAAGCAGAGACTTGCCCCACCAGCTGGGCCTGGGGGTTGTGCTGGGTCATGGTAGGTGTGGAATAGCAACTCTGCAGCCCTGGGACAGGGGTTTTCCACATGTCCTCAGGCAATGAGGTCCCAGGTGCATGGAGCAGAGTGCCCTGCCTGTCCCCAGCTGCCATGGAGCTGAGATTCACCCTGCTTACTCTCCTCTCCTTTCCTCACATTTTTCTTCTTTATACTTAGTTAATGCTTTTATATTTGCTCACTCTGAGCATCACAGGTAGTGCAATATTTCATCACCCTGGCTGGAGATGGGGCAGGGAAGGGGTTGGGGATGTGCCCTGTGCCATGCCAGGGTGGCTGAGCTGAGCTGGAGTGCCAGTGGGATGACAATGATGCTGGGCTCTTCCCATCAGTGGTTCCATGAAGATGTCCTCTCTGAAGTGCCTCCACAGGTCACGTCTTCTGCTGTCACATGCTGTGCCTGCTCCCTGTCCCTCGAAGCCTTGCAGCCCAGCAGTCACCTCGCTGAGTGGATACCCATGTCTGATGATTTTGCTCCAGGCGTACGAGCTGCACGTATCAAAGCTGAGCCATGTCCTTTCTCCTGCCTGTTCCTGCCTCTCCCAGCCTGGGAATCCTGGCTGCAGGGTGTTTGCACTGCTTCCCCAGCACTGTGCAGCGAGCTGGATTTGGGGTGCCAGCTTCAGGGTGAGGGGTACCCCGGGGCAGGTCTCTGGGGTGCAGGCTGGAAGGGCCAGCACAGACATGGCCCTATCTGCCAGGAGGATGCTGGTCATTGCTGTAAGGTCAGCTTTAAATAATGGGAATAATAAAAATGAGGCTGCCTGGAGGAAAGGAGAGAGAGCAAACTGAATCCTAATGAGGTTGCTTGGACACACCAGCATGACCATTCACAGAAATAATTTAAAAAAAGAAAAAAAAGCATCAAGTTTAGATCAAAGTATTTGGGACACAGAAGCCAAGGCACAATCCCACAAGGACACCCTGGGATAGGACATCCCTGCTGAGATCCCACATCCATGAGCTGCTCCTGTTGTGCTAGGGAAAGTTCAGGGCAACCCTTGACTACAGATGGTGTGGGAAAAGAGCCCAAAGGATTGAGGGAGACGCTGCTTCACTCAGGATGGGAATTGCTATCTTGTCACCAGTTTTACTGCAACTGGTGCAGTGCCTGGTGTGAAGGGGCAGAACATTTACTTTTATGGAGGGCCAAAATTTACCAAGTTGTAGTGACAAACACTGAAAAAGGAAGTTTTAGAAGGGAAATTAAACATTAATATTTCAGGGCTTAAGGCAATCCTCAGTGCAAAGGCAGGAAAGTAATTAGTGTTGTAGATGGGGAAATAACCAGCATAAATGGAAGTGGGGCGAGTGCAGGTTCAAGGGGCCGCAGGGAGGAGGATGGGCAAGGGCTCTCCAGGAGATAGCAAGGAATGAGCCTGGAGGCCCTCAGGAATCCCCCCCAGCACACCAAGCCCCAGCAGCACCATATTTCAGGGGGGGCTGTGCTGCAATAACCCAGCCCTCCTCCTCCTCCTTGCCTTGGCTCTGCTGGCCACAGGCCAGGTGAAACGCTCCCCCGAGCACGGCGGGGACTGGTCCAACCCCGCACAGCTCCAATTATCCCTGGCTGGAGACTTTCCAGGAATCCCATCCCCTCTCCCTCCACCGACCCTGCCTCCCCCAGCCTCCCCCCCCCCTCAAAGCAATTTGACTTTTATAGTAATAACTTCTGAACCCTGGACTGGGGCCGTGCCAAGGAAAGCAGCAGAAAACAATGTGATGGGCCTCGGCAGGCGCGGAAACTCCAGCGACCGAGACCAGCCCTAAAATAACTTTTGAGTGATGGTTATTTATTCTGGGAGAAAGTTCGTTCATTCACAATTTGGAGGGGAGATAAATGAGGGCGGGCTGGGGCTGCACAGCGGCAGCACGCCGTGGCTGTGGATGCAGGGCGCCTGCAGCGCCAGGGCAGCCAGCTCACCGCGGTCCTTCTGCCCATGTCCTGCTGGAAAACCCTTTTTAAAAATATTTGGGTTCATCTGAAAGCCCCGGGCTCAGGTGGAGGAGTCCAGCTCGAGGCTGGGGGTCTGCATGTGCCACCAGGTGCAGGGGGCTGCACTTTGTGTGTTTGTGCCTGCACGTGTTTCAGCTTCCCCAGGCACGCTGGTCAGCATGGCTGTGCCCCATGCCACTGCCTTGCACACCTGCACCTGAGCTCTGCACGCTGAACCATCATTGTCCAATGGGCAGCAGGTGGTGCAGGCAAACCCCAGGCAGGAACAGACAGCATCCTGCTGCCAGTTCTGTTGAGTATCAGTGTGTGCATGGCAGCTGTCAGCCAACATCAGCTGGGCAAGCAACAAGTGGTGCAACCTCAGTAGTTCTGCAGCTCTGAGCTGCCACAGCTTCCCTGCAATGCACAGGAGCTGAAGCAAAGCTTCCAGAGGAGCCTTGAGCAACCTGGGTAACCCTGGGTGCTTCTGAATTGGGGACACTCCAAAGGAGGCAGCCAGCCAGCCTGTAGCACTGCCACGTGTCTGCTCGTGCAAGTGTTTTATGGTCCCTGTCACCACAGGCTGGGCACTCTCAGGATCTGGAGTGCAGCGGTGACTCTGCCAGACAAGACTCAGGGTGTCTGTGTTATCCTTGGGGTGGATGGCTGGGATCCCTTGGCACATTTGGAGAAAAAATGCTGGGGAAACCTGGTGTCTTCCTGCTGGGTGACAGGGATGACAGAGACCTCAGAGTGTGGCTCTGTGGGCAGTGGGGTAGGAGAGGGACAGACAGTGACATGAAGGCCTTACCAGCTTTGTGTGTGGATCATCTCCAAGAATGATACACATCCAAGACTACCTGCCCACGAGCATCTCAGGAGCAAGGCACCATGGCACAGTGACAGGGGACAGCATTGCCATCATCACCTACCCTGCACATCAGATCTTGGAGAGCGCGCTGCTCTGGAGTGAGAGACGCTGCCACATCCCCTCCCACCAAGAGAACAACTGCACTTGCCTGGGCCACCCCTCTCCTCCTACTGCCTCCAGGCTGGAGAACCTTGCTGAGTGCTACCAAATATTTTTGCTGTGGAATGACATGTGGACACACTGGAGTTGGGGACCTGGAGCTGCAAAAGGGGATGATTCAGGGCTGTCCTTTGCAGAGTGAGGAGGGCACCACTTTGTGTTTAGCAGCACAGTCACTCTGGCACTGGAGAAGCTGTCCCCCGGCCGCCCTTGCGTGGGGACAGCAGGGTAGATGCGGGTCACACACGGGGCAGGAGCAGCCCCTGGCCACGCTGGCCAGCACACACAGCTTCCTCCATGGCACAGTGCCTGCAATGGGTGAGACTGGCCCTGCTGGGCCGCATCCCTCATCCTGCCAGGCAGGAAAGGCTCCAGCCCCTCGCTCCTCCTTGCCTCTCCACATCCCCTGCCCTCTGCCCCGCCACCGCTGCGGACAGCCCCGTGCTTGCCAGATGATTTCCAGCCTCGCTGCTCTTCGGGCTGTCTGAGCAGCTCGTGATCTTGGCAGGCAGCTCAGAGCCCTACCAGTTATCATTACAATGATTATTTGTGTCTTCCCAGCTCAAAAGGGCTTTCCTCTTACCTCGTCCCTGGCTGGCCTCAAGCCAGGTGGGACTGTGGATGGAGAAAGAGGAGAGGGCAGCATCCTGCACTGTCAGAGCAGGGGACTGCAGTGGCATGCAGGAGATGGGACAGAGGGGAGGACAGATATTGTTCCTCCTCCTGAATGCTCAGATTGGAAATCAACACCCTCTTGGTTAATTCATTAGCTTTGATTAGAAGCTCTGAAGCTCGGACCAGCTAATGGGCTCCCTCCCTCTGGTTAATCTCCAAGAGGAGTTCAGCAAGGTTACCTGAACCAGGAACGGTGAGGGAAGGATGGGGATGAGTGCAATTGAATTAGGAAGCTATTAAATTAAGAAGTCAAACTGAGCCAAAACACAGCCATTGCAAAATGTTCCCATGGCTAAAACATGGGGGAGAGCATTATTAAAGCACAGGGCAGAGCGCAGCACTGTGTTTGCACTCATCTGGGTCGGGGCTGGGGGCTGGAGCAGCAGGTCCCTGTGGGCACCAGCCCAGCCTGGGGCTTGGGGTCGTGTTTGCCAGCTCCATCCCATGCAGATCCCTTCACCAATACCTTAATCTCCCTAGGTGGGCTGCATCTTCCTCCAAGTGGAGGTTCCTCTGCAGCCTGGATTTTGTTGTTGATTAAATTAGCTCAGCAGTAACCTATTTGTGATGATGATGTGAGGTAGCAACCTTCAGTGTTTCTATTAAAATATACATGTATATATTTGTTTTCTGCGGTTATGAATGTAATTCCACAATCCACTGAGGAGCCGGTAATTTTCTGGCTGAGGTGGGAAGTTGCTGACATCTTGTGATACATGACAAGATTGATTGTATTTGCTTACCCTTTAACCTAATAAAGAAAAATAATGTTCCTTAGTCTCACTAATTCTCTATAAACTTGGACATTGCTTTAAATCAGCTGGAAGTGCAGGCACTGAACCGTATCATTGCTGGGGCAGGAATCTTGCTCCCCAGGCCCTCCCCAGTTCCCAGGTGAGGGGGACCAATTTGGCAGCATTGTCCTCAAGAGCACCCAGCACCTCTGGGTCGGAGAGGACTGTGGTGGTCGTGGCAGGGAGGTGGCCTCTGCAGCCTGTTCATCCTGCTGGCTGGGAAAGCATTAACCAATTTACTGCTAATCGTGTTATCACCAGCACATCTGAGCAGCTGCTGGGGCAGCACAGGCCAAAGCAAACACGGCCCAGTGCCCCGGGACGCGGAGCAGTCAGAGGCAGCTGCGCCTACTCTCGGGTTTCCAGGTCCCATATCTCCCACCACAGTGGTCCAGTTGGCCTCTGGAAGGAAGGAAGGAAGGAGGCTCCACAGGACAAACCCAGCCAGTAGTGCAGCGGGCAGGAGGGATGCTGCAGCAGGGAGGGTGGGAGCTGCAGTGGTTGAAATTTGGGCCTTGACACCAGTGCTTGGGTGAACTTGGATGTGCTGCACAGTGGGCACCGTGTCTGCAAAACATCTGCCTTCCTTCTCTGGGAGGTCAGATGTAAGAGATGAAGGAGCAGGCTGGATGTCACAGTGCATGTGGCAGTGGGTCTGCCATCCCAACACATCATCTCCTCCATCCTCCCTTCCTGGGGACAGCTCTCTCCAGGGGAAGAAATTACAGAGCAGGGCAAGCAATGCCGCTACAGCACAGCTCCTCTCAGTTACCCCTGTCCTCTGGGGAATCATCGGTGCTGAGCTGCTCTTAGTTCCTCAGAACCTGTCTTGGCTTCGCTGCCCTTTTCCACAGTGCAGCACCCAGCAAACAGGGCACACATGTGTCCCCAGGCCAACAGCAACGTGGCATTGCCTTGTGCCAAAGTGATGGGCTGTGCCCACAGCAGAGTGCCCCTGGCCTGGGCATGTGGGGGAGAAAGTGCTGAATCCTGGAAAAGGTTTTCCCTGCTCTGAAGCAGAGCTGGCAGGGGGCTGCTCACCTGCCCAGCGTGGTTTGACAGCCAGCTGCCAACCAGCCGGGAATTGCCTTTGCTGGTGTGCTTAAAAATAACCCGCTAGCTTGTCAAGGTTATAAAGAGAGGGAGAACAAATTGCTTTCTGAGTTGATTAAACTGCTCGGCGTGGCCGCGCACGCGGCGCTCTCCGTACGGCTGGGACAGAGTCTGGTGCGTTAATTTGCACTCGGCAGTTCCTGTGCTAATAAGGGCTTGATGAGCTGCCTCCTCATACCCTCATCACTGGCCCCTCTGAGCAACAAGCAATGCTTGACTGGGCCCTGAGGCAGCTGGGGCACTTTGTCTATTCAAAATGCCCTTTTTTTGTTGCCTTTCTGTTGCTTTTGAGCAGTGCCATGTCCGGAGCTGCCCTGGAGCCACTGGACCAAATCTCCGGAGGATTTCAGCAGGTCCCTGCTTCATCCCAGGGCAGCTGAGGGGATAGAGGCATAAGAACACGTCAAAACTCAGCTGCAAGGAGAAAAACCCACCTGTGGCCACAAATTTCTCCATGCCAATGCAACAGCCGCCCTCACCACCGCAGCACTCAGCATCACCCCACGATGCTGCCGCCACAACGGGGTCTCCGTGCTTGAAAGAGAAAAATATAACCAGCCCCTCGCCTACCCCCCACCCTCCCCCTGCAACTTTCTGGGAAAATCCCTTTCTGCCTAAAATTATCCAGATGTGCTTTACAGCTCGAGGGGAGTTTGTGGGAAAAATACGAGGTTCGCTGGATGAGATGTTTCCTGAAGTGTGGGGCTGGGAGCTGGTTCCACTTTGGAGCAGACCCGCGCCGCTCACGCGCCGCCGCTGCCAGAGCTTGGCTTAGTTAGTTAAACCAGATTGAGTTTATCTCTTAATAAGAACTAGGGAATGAAAGCGCTTTTTCTTTTTTCTACCCTTTCTTTAATTCATACTCTGCGCTGGGGAAAGGCAGAAAAGGATTTTCTAAGCAGCTTGGTGTCTCCTAGCACTCTGGCTCTGGTGTCCTTCTGGTAGGTGTCCTTTGAGGTTCATGTAGTTTATCAGCTCTGTGGGCTCCTACTGATACCCTGCACCCCAAAGGGCATCCCAAGGGGCTGAAGTTAGGGATGCATCCAGGGGCCAAATTGGGGACCAAATTGTGCAAAGCAATGCAGGGGCTGCATCCTCCAACTGACGAAGGAATTTTCAGTGACGACAAAGCAGCAGTGGGTGCAGACCCTGGGGTCTGGGCTTCACATAAATCGTAGCAATTTGCTGGCTCTGCCACTCTAAATCCTGTCTAATTATACCAACTGCAGCATCTGACATTAATTTGTTACAGTGTGTGTGTATAGAGCACCAGACATTTTGGGGACGGATTTAAGAGCAGCCTTCAGATCTTTGCCCTTGCAATCCACTGCCAGTCACAAACGATTGCATTTGGCCTCCTAGTTACCTGCCTACATTGGAAAATTGGTTATTTTGAAGTCTCAAATATTATTATTACTTTCATCTACAATCAGTTTAAAGATGCAAAATTTAAGGCTGCATTCAGGCATCTTTTGGGGGCAAAAATTAAAAATAAAAAGAAATATTGTCCGTCTTTGCTCCTAGCTGCCCTTTTCAGTCTCTGAACTGTAAAATAAGATTGACAGCAACTTCGAGACCAGCAGCAAAGCACAGCCCAGGTCACAAGCCTGCAGAGCACTCTGGAGGGGAGGATGCCTGGGAACCAGGCTGAGGAGTAGCTGGTGTGGACTGAGCCGTGCGATGTCAGGTTTTTAACCAGCTTGCTGGAGCTCTTTGAGGATATTACTGCTTTGCTAGATAAGAGAAATTCAAGGGATGTGCTATACTTAGAGTTTCAAAACACACTTGGCATCAGTGCAGATCAAAGCCGAATGGTACAGGCAGCATCCTGGAATAGAAGGTGAAAGAGGGAAAAGATTTGGAATTTACTGGGAGGAAAAAAAAATATGCTGAAACGAACAGCACAAGGCTGCTGAGCTATAAATAGTAAAGAAGGTATTAGCAGTGGCTCCACACACAAACTGACACTCGGCTCCACTTCCCAGCTTGGGAAGAAACCTTCCCTCCAAGTGGGAAATGCTCAAGGAAAGCACAGCAGTCCCTGCAGAGTCCACTGCCCCAGCCCAGCTCCCAGCTGAAGCCAGTGGGGACCAGTAAGGTTTGGGCGAACCCCAGCAGGGTGTGCTCCTGTCAGTCTGTCCCCTCCAGCAGCCCATCATGTCCTTGCTATGTCAGGTTATCTGTGCCCCACCAGCAGCTGTTTCCAATCCCATAAACTGGAACAGGGCTGCTTTGTCAGCTCCCATGCTGGTGGCCGACCATGGCCAGGGGCTTTTATACAATCCTGCCCTGCCCTGGGCTGTGGTGCTGCCACCACTGCAGCAGGGCTGGGGCGTTCATGCCCTCCCCACGATCTCACACACCAAGTGCTTCTTCAGCCCTTCTTCTTCCTCACTGCCACTTGCTGCTCATGGCAGAAGTGACAAGTCTGCCCCTTGCCACCCAGGCTGGCTAGGGGAGTCCATGGAGGGCAAGGCGACCACATCCCCCACATCCCTGTGTGGTACCCCTGGTCAGGGCTGTGCCTCAAGACAAGATTTCCCTACAATGTCCAGTCAGCAAGGAGGAATTACATTCTTTAAACCTACTCTTGAAGCACCACAGTTGTATCACAAACCTGCAGCAGAGACAGGAGTACTGGGGGAACCCCTCTAAAACATCAGCTGCTGGGTGATAGGGTTCAGCTGGGGGAGATCAGAGCCAGGGAAAGTCCCATGGAGGGACACCTATGAGTGATGGATGGCTGAGGCTCCTATAAACAGCTCACATGGTCCTGGCTGTGTGATGAGATGTTCCTTGTAGAACAGAATGATTTGGGCTTGAAATTATGGAGGGGTTTGTCTCCTGTGTATTCCTCCTGTCTCTCTTCTGCTTGTGGATTCAAAGATGAAAGTCATTCTCCCCTCTCTGGGAGGGAGGAGTATTTCTGAAACACCTCAAGTCATAGCACCCCTCTTCTAGGTCAGTGGAACTGAGCTGATTGCAGCTCTGCAGGTGGCAGGCAGTCCCTGGCACACAGGACACCCTAAGTCCTGCTATGCTGAAAGGAACAAGTCTGCTAGGGCAGAGGTATCTGGGGATGGTGATACATTCCCCATGGATCCTGGCAGCTCCTCTGGTGGCTGGGAAAGGACTTAATCCTGTACCCCTGCAGCAACACCTCCCCAAAAAGGGCTGGATCCCAGGGTGATGGGGCATACTATATCTGAGAATGGACATCCTTAATCCCAGAGCACCCCTGAGCCAGATGCCATCCCAGGGGTGACAGTTCACCCTGCCACGTGCCTGGCACTGGGGCCTGGAGCACAGGGACTGCTCCCTGGGTTAGGGGTGGGTGCTGGAGCGGAGCCGGGAGCCAGCCGGCCCGGCCCCAGCACGCACCGCCGCGTTTCCTCTCAGCCATGCCAGGCTCCTGCCAGCTGAGTTTGAGGTGAGGCATTAACACTGGTATCTCTGTTAATATTGCTATAAAGCAATAAAGGTAACTTGATTGCGGAAAGGCAGGGAGACCAGCGGGTTTGGAGCCGTTCCACAGCACTGCTATTAGAAAGCTCAAAATGAGAGTTATTAAATTACTGCCAGGTACTGCAGGTTTTTCCTAACAGGGAGACTTCGGCTTGGCTCGGAAACTTAAGCTCTGGCTTGTTCAGGTTAATTAAAAGAGAGCTGGACATCTTCCAGGGCCTTGCTTCTCATTCCTGATGGCCACCCCCTCCCCTCCAAGGCTTCTGCCATGAGCACCCATGAGCATTACCCCACTGAGGGATGCTGAGGGAGCACTGGGCATCAGCACTGGGCAGGGTTGACAGGCCAGGGAAGCCAGGCTGGAGGTCCTGTAGGATGCTGACCACTTGCAGTCCCCTGGT